CCTTTCGTTCCCAGTCTGGGCCCCAGGGGGCCCCTAGAAGGCACAACACGTGCACCTCCCCTCACCCCCCCATTGCCAGTCGGGCTGCTGAAATGAGGAGCGCCACTGCAAAGAAGGAGCGAGCCCCTCTGTGGCACCGGGAGCGCCTCGGTGCACGAGGAGTGCCAGAAGAACAGCCATGGAATTACCCAAGGAGCAGCGAGCCCCTTCCGGACCCAAAGCGGCCCTGATTTCAGCATTTTGGCTGCACCGCCCCCCCCCCCCATTACCGCAACGCCCGAGGCAGGCTGCCGGGGGCGTGACCAGGGCCGCGCAGGCCAACTGCCGTCGCAGCGCCCTCCCCCGCGGCTCCAGGTCGCCGGGGGCGGGATGCCTCGGCCGCCATCGCCCGCAGGCGGCGCCCGGCGGCCTCGTGGAACGCCTCAGGGCACGAAGCAGTGCCAGCTGGCGAGGAGTGGGAAGAACCAACTGCATCAGCACAGACTTTCGGACGTCCGCGCGGACTTTGTTGATCGGCGGTTGGGACCCCCCATGCCTGGCGCGCGGAGCGCGCCAGGGCTGGCGCCAGGGACGCCGCCAGCCACGAGGGCCCAGCACTGCCTTCCAGGGCCAGGAGGAGGGCGGGCCACTGCACCCACCCAAAATGAAAGAAACAAAAAAGGCCGTCCCAGACTAGGTGGAGTCATCCACCAGCGGCCCAGATTGCAAAGGGGCGCCACTCTTGGGGTGCCTCCGCGCGGAGCTCCAAACGTGCACGTGTATGCCGTTGCTTGCTCTTCGAAAGAACGGCAAAAAATCATTCTGCAGCCCCAGAAAGTGTAGTGCGAGGGGCCCCCCAGATGTGACCACGCTCGTGCGGCAGCGACGGGGTCCGTCGTGACTGACCCTGGCCGCGAACGCGTGGGCTCGCGGCGCGCGTGCACGTCCCCCCAGATGTGATCACCACCTGTGCGGCAGCGACGGGGTCCGTCGTGATTGCCCTTTTCTTCGGCCGCTGATTTGGGTGGCCGCGAGCGTGGGCGCGCGGCGCGCGCGTGCACCGCTACCCACAGAAGCAGCCAGACGGGCCGTCGATCGCCACGGCACTGGCCGCGGCCGCTGCCCGCAGGCGCCGCCGGCGGAGCCCGCTGGCTGGGCGCGTCGAGGTTGACCATGGTGGCTGCGTGCAAATGCTGGGCCGTCGTACGCCGCTGGGTGCGTAGCGGCACGGCCCATCGTCTTCCCAGCATGGTGCATGCTGCGAGCATTGCGCACGCACGCTTACGCCAAGATGTTGCGAGATCGCGTCGCCCTTGAAAAGTGGCATGAGCCGCCTGCCAAGCAGCGGCCCAGGTTGCAGGCGACACCGCCGCCAACGTAAACCTGGTCACCCGGTCCGCGATGCCAAGAGAGGTCGCAAAAGGTGAAGCTCTTGGGCGGCAGTTTGTCTAGCTCGCCCCAGGGGAAATCCTCCTGCAAAGGGAGCGTCCGGGCAGCTGGGCCACGTTGGTGAAGACAAGAGGGTGTGGAACCGTTGCGCACACTGAGCGCTGGAGGCCGCCCAATGGCCGACTGCCGAAGCCCTGGACCATCTCTTGGGGGCGCATCTCTTACTTCCGCCAGCTTCCGCCGGCCCTTCGCCGGCCTCCGCCGGCGGCAGCGGCCGATCGTTCTGCTTCCGCCGCCCTCCGCGGCCCCTTCGCCGCCCTCCGCCGAGGCAGAGGTGCTCCTCCGATGCTCGAGGGCGAGGACATTTCTGGAGCGCGCCACGTGGAGCCGGAGTAAATTTATGTCGGGCGTGTCCCCCTACACAAGGATTTTCGGCGAAAAATAAGAAATACCCCCAAAATATCCCAAAAAGGTCAACAAATACTCAAAAAATAATACCCTGACTATTTTTTGATAATTTTCGGGGTATTTCCCCACATCCAAAGTGGGGTTCTTGTTTTCTCTGCACACCCCGCGCAGGAACACTCACCCCACCCCCTCTCCTCTTCTGCCTCATCATGCGGATGAAAATTCCGTCGTCACTTTTGGGCTCCTAGGGCGTGAATTTGGAGGAAGTATCAGGCGGGAGCGTCGTCTGTGAGTGAATTGTGAGGAAGTCTCAGGCGGGAGCCCCCTCCCTATGGGGCCCGCAGATCATGTTGGTAATCCGAGCGGGTCATCGGAACCCTGTAACTGTCGTCACTTTTGGGCTCCCCAGGCCTGAAAATGGAGGAAGTCTCAGGCGGGAGCCTCGTCTGTGAGTGAATTGGGAGGAAGTCTCAGGCGGGATCTCCCTCCCTATGGGGCCCGCAGATTATGTTGGTAATCCGAGCGGGTCATCGGAACCCTGTAACTGTCGTCACTTTTGGGCTCCTCAAGCCTGAATATGGAGGAAGTCTCAGGCGGGAGCCTCGTCTGTGAGTGAATTCTGAGGAAGGCTCAAGCGGGAGCCCCCTCCCTATGGGGCCCGCAGATCATGTTGGTAATCCGAGCGGGTCATCGGAACCCTGTAACTGTCGTCACTTTTGGGCTCGTCAAGCCTGAATTTGGAGGAAGTCTCTGGCGGGAGCATCGTCTTTGAGTGGATTGTGAAGAAGTCTCAGGCGGGAGCCCCCTCCCTATGGGGCCCGCAGATCATGTTGGTAATCCGAGCGGGTCATCGGAACCCTGTAACTGTCGTCACTTTTGGGCTCCTCAAGCCTGAATATGGAGGAAGTCTCAGGCGGGAGCCTCGTCTGTGAGTGAACTGCGAGGAAGTCTCAGGCGGGAGCCCCCTCCCTATGGGGCCCGCAGATCATGTTGGTAATCCGAGCGGGTCATCGGAACCCTGTAACTGTCGTCACTTTTGGGCTCGTCAAGCCTGAATTTGGAGGAAGTCTCAGGCGGGAGCCTCGTCTTTGAGTGAATTGTGAAGAAGTCTCAGGCGGGAGCCCCCTCCCTATGGGGCCCGCAGATCATGTTGGTAATCCGAGCGGGTCATCGGAACCCTGTAACTGTCGTCACTTTTGGGCTCCTCAAGCCTGAATATGGAGGAAGTCTCAGGCGGGAGCCTCGTCTGTGAGTGAACTGCGAGGAAGTCTCAGGCGGGAGCCCCCTCCCTATGGGGCCCGCAGATCATGTTGGTAATCCGAGCAGGTCATCCAAAACCTGTAACTGTCGTCAATGTTGGGTTCTCGCGCTGCCAGAACGCAGTTCCCAGGCCACACT